TCTCACCCACTTGAAGACCCTACAATCCTCTCGCTTTCCCTTACCAGTCCCGGTCTCTAGAGCGACTCCCAGCATAGGTTATGCTGCTTGGGCCTGTCTCTGTACAGGACACCACTGGCTGCCTTCTCTGAAATGCAGTGGATATTCGCCTTTACTTGGGGAAATTCTCTCTGGGAGAGACAGCGTCTGGGGAGGTGAGCCGTCCCAGAGGCAAACGTGAGGTCCTAGTCATCATTCTATCATCAATGCCCAACCTAATGCCCAGCTCACAGAAGGTGCTAAAAACATCTGTCCAGTGAGTGAGGAAGAACTACTCAGTGGAGTCTAATCCCTCCTCCTTTTACATGTTATTTTTGTTTTGTTGGTTTTTTTTGGTTACGAGTACATGTTATGTTTTATCCAAACCTTAAAGGCAGGTATGAGCTCCCTTATGGAGGTGAAGGGATATGCCCAGAGAGGCGAAGTAACTTGCCTGTGACACACAGCTAGTAAATTGTAGAGCCAGGATGTGAACCTAGAGCTTTTAACAGCACACCTCGTTTCTATGGGCTATAGCAGATCACTTTCCTAAGAGGGTCTGGGCACTTTCTTCCCCCCTTGTCCATCCCATCCTCTGGCCCCAGTGTTCTCATGCCTTCTCCCCACCCAACCAGACCCCCCCTGGCAGCCTCTGAGCTTAGAACACAGCCTGGCCCCCTTGCCTCCTCCTCCCCCACCCAGAGTCTTTAGCTCTGAGACTGAGAGCTGAGGTTCAGAGGGGCCGGAGAAGGGAGGGGGAAGGGGAATGGCCAGCTCCAAAACAGCCCAGGCAGCTGTCCCTGTCACAGAGAAAGGAGACTGTGTGACGGTGTGTGTCTGTCCGCCTGAGTGTGGGAGCACATGTGTGGGAGAGTGTGTTTGTGTGCCTCAAGCGTCAAGTCCAAGTGCTTATTATGTCTGAGTGGGAGCCTGTGTGTTTGCACGTGTGTCTGTCTGTCTCTGGGAACACACGGCCTGAACTCGGCCTTGTCTTTTACTGGCCCTTATCCACTCTCATACCGCCGCCTCTGCTAAAACAGAGGGGGAGGAGAACCCAGACTCAGGTATGGAATGCCAGGGGCCAGGGAGTTTGGAATACTGGGCGTCTGGAGCCACGGCAAACTGGCAGGGGGGACTTGGCTTTTCCCACAGACGAACCCGACTGTTCCTTTTTTCTTAGCCGTGTCACTCCTGTGGCCTCTGGAGGAGTCAGAGGCATGGATTGCATTTCAAGGGCATCTTGGGTAGGAAGTAGGTGGCGACTTCAAATCACTCTTTTCCAACTCGTAGTTCTAAGCTTTTCGCCGCCTCGTCCCAGTCCCAGCTATTTGGGAAGAGCTGTTAGTCAAGCTGCCGCAGGTCCCCCGAGGACTTCTCCCTTCATCAGAGCATCACTGGGTCCAAGTTTCCAGCTCTAAGCCCTTTGCTCCTGATCTTCCACTCCTTCAGATCTGGAAGGAGAAGCAAGTGAAGCACACCTCTCCTCCTGGCCTGGCTTCTCTCCTTCCTCCCCAAGTTCCCTCCAGCTCTGCCTCTCCAGTCCCAGTGAAAGGTCCAACATCCCTCTGCCTGTGGAAAGAACAGGGACCATTTCTCAACCTCCTGCCTTGACCTCTGTCCCACTCCCAACCTGGCTTGAGAGGTGGGGGTGGGGGTGGGACTGGGGCACAGCTGTGATCTCTGAGCTGGCGGAAGGGGGCATTATCATGTGCAAATACAGGCCTCTGCCCATCTGCACCTCCCTGAGAAAGGCTCCTAATAAATTCAGAGTAGCCAAGTGACACACATCTCAATCTAGACTAATCCACCACATTAATGCCACCCCGTGCAGCCTGCATTAAGCCCTGGTTATTGGGGAGGGGATGTTGGTGGCAGAGGTCCCTCATACCCAGCTTTCCTTTCTGATCCTCTGTCTTTAGCCTCCTAAAGGTTGCAGGAGAACCTGCAACCAAGTGACACCCAAAGTCTTGAACTCATTAGCGTCCTTTTCCCTTCTCCACACCCAGTGATCTAAGGGGAGTCACAGGAAAGGGGCCCAGGCAGGCTCTTGGGCAGTGCCAGGCTGGGTTTAGGATAGGGAATACAGCGGCACTGCTGTAACACACGACACTGCATGGCTGACCTACCTGGGAAGGTTCTGGGTTCGCATCTGGAGACCTCCCTGAGTACATTGGGCATGGGAGTGCCCATGATCTGGAGCTGGCTGAAGTTGGGGGTGGGTTGTAGTATGGGGACCCTGTTGAGATGCTGTCTGTATGCCTCTCTCTATGTGTGTCTCTCTTGCTCATGGAAGAGATAAAGAAACTTGGGGGAGGGAGCCTACACCTTCTGCTTGGAGTGGGCTTGGTGCTGGCAGGGCCACGTGAGAGAGTGAAGGAGTGACTGGTGGGATGCGGGATGTATCTGGGAAGACAGAGGAGCAGACAGCCCAAGCTGTCAGTGGTTTTCAAATTTGGTTTTGATCCTGGAACTGTTTCTTCCAATACATCTTTTTAGAGATCGTAAACAAAACAGACAAAAGCAGAGCTGCCCTAGTAGTTGCAGGGTCAGGCTAGAGTTCTAGTTCAGTTCCCGAGGGGCTTTCTGGGGAGGACCCCCAAAGAATACAACTTGGAAAAAAAAAAAGCATTGGTTTAGGAGTCCCACAGACCTGGTTCAAATTCCAGTTCCACTATTTATAAGCTCTGTGACCTTAAGTTACACTAAGTCTCAGTTTCCTCATCTGAAAAAGGGAGATAATACTTCAATTTGCTGTATTCGTGTAAAGAGAGGGGTAATGGGCGAAGGCTCACAGGAAGTGCCCATAAATGACAGCAGTCATTATTTTTATGGAAGAACGGTCAGGCCTGGCTCAAAAGAAAATCTGTCCCCAGGAGAGTGACGGTCTTGGGTAGCGCTCAGGCACAGTTGGCTAGGAGCACACGGGGATACTGTGCATTCCTGTGAGCAGAAATTGAAGTCTTGGAGGATGTGGAATATGGAGTGTGGGTCCCCTACTGTGCATTTTTCTTCGCTCAGTAAATATTGACACCCACTGTGCACGGTTCAAGGTGCCCAGCAGTTACAAGTCGGTCTGGTGCATACATCCGAGCGCGAAACCACTTAGTACACACCTGCCCCCCTCAAGTTGCTGTGTGCCCTCCTAGCCTAGGGCACCCCGCATAGGTAGCTCTATGTGCCTGAGAAAGGGGCCAGGGGAACTTGTGAGGAAACCCTACTGGCGACTGGATACTCCGGACATTTTCCCCCCGCATTAACCTGGTCTGCGCTTTCTCTTCCCTCCAGAGCCCTCCCTCCATGGAGTTTGGCTTGCTTAGCGAGGCGGAGGCCCGGAGCCCTGCCCTGTCGCTGTCAGACGCAGGCACTCCCCACCCCCCGCTCCCAGAACACGGCTGCAAGGGCCAAGAGCACAGCGGTGAGCGCGCCCCCTTCTGGGGGTGGAAGAGATGACAGCTCGATCCCCCTGGGGGTGTATCCAGGGGGGGAGGCCGGGCGGGAGCCGGCGGCTGCCGAGGAGGTCCCTGAGCCCGAGAATCCGCGCAGGCCTGGGCGCCCTGTGACCTGCCCCCGCCCTGGCCCCCAGACTCGGAAAAGGCCTCGGCGTCGCTGCCCGGCGGCTCCCCCGAGGACGGCTCGCTGAAGAAGAAGCAGCGGCGGCAGCGCACGCACTTCACCAGTCAGCAGCTGCAGGAGCTGGAGGCGACCTTCCAGAGGAACCGCTACCCCGACATGAGCACGCGCGAGGAGATCGCCGTGTGGACCAACCTCACCGAGGCCCGCGTGCGGGTATGGCCTCCCTGGCCCGCCTGGCCGCCCCCTCGCGGGCCCGGCGGGCAGCAGGTCGGGGAACCGGCCCCCGAGGGCCGGCCCG